CAAAGGTGAAAGGCTCTGTGTCTACTTGTGGAAGATCTTTGGTCTGACCAATTTTTTTTTTGAAAATATGCTGAATGTGTCACATGCCTCAGTTTCAAAGTATGCAATGGAACATTTTGGAGTTCATCCATCCTGGAACAGTGGTATAATTTTGCAGGTTTATTGTCTGATATTCCCTGGTACCCTGCACTGTTTCTTTTTTTTTAAAACATGAGTTATATTCTTTATTATGACAAGGTTCCTTGGGTGAATTTGTTCTCTTTTATTAGAACAACCCAAATGGTTGGAGAATAGTTATTAAGCAAGCTTTCGGGTTCAAAAACCCTTCATCAGGCTCAGGAAGCTGCAGCAGTTGGTGTGTGCTCTTCCTGGATGGAATGAAAAGTAAACAAGCCAGGGGCTGGGCTGGGCTGGGCTGGGCTGGGCTGGGGAGGGGAGTCAGTTGCCAGGCAGATTATAATGTATCAAAAATCCAATGATTTTTGATACATTATAATCTGCCTGGCAACTGACTCCCAGCCCCGCCCCTGGCTTGTTTACTTTTCATTCCATCCAGGAAGAGCACACACCAACTGCTGAAGCTTCCTGAGCCTGACAAAGGGTTTTTGAACCCGAAAGCTTGCTTAATAACTATTCTCCAACCATTTGGGTTGGTCTAATAAAAGAGATCAAATTCACCCAAGGAACCTTGTCTGCCTATGTCCTTAGACCAGCACGGCTACAACCCGAACCCCTGCATTCTTTATTCTGTGCACTGTTTAAGATGGTTTAAACATATATGATACTTCAGAAATATAGTAAAGCATATTAGCTATCCTGAGGATCTAAGAGTGTCTCTACATGGCAGTTAGGGAGAATGCAGTGCTGTGTATCAATATCCAATTTATACCAGGAACTGGACACAATATCACTGTGTTAGCGTAGTGCTCCACCCAGGCTCATTTATTCTGCTGAATGATGTCAGTGCCATTCTTAGATGTTTTCCCAGAAGTAGGATGAGGCATGTTGGGTAGGTGGCAAGAGGGTTGTGACTTAATTAAGACCACAGGAGTACCCTGTTAGAGCTGGGATGTGAGCAAGTTTTTTATGCTTAGTGTTGTGCTGCTTCACGTGATTCTGAGCTGTCTTTTTAGATGGCTTTGGAATTGTTGTTTTTTTAGGTGAAACTGTAACAGTTCTAGTCGGATCAGTGGCATCTCCACTTCATACAACCACTGATTTGAGGTCCTGACAAGTGAAAAAACCCTTTATCAAGATTTAGACAGAACCCAAAGATAGATTTTGGGTTGTTGTCAGTCATCTGAAGTCTTTAGGAATTGTTTGAAATTCTTGACCCAAGTTAGTGATGAGAAGTTCATGTTTGCTTGTAAAGATAGCCTTAAAAATGGCTTTTCCTTTTTAAGCTGAACCTCAAACTTGTCTGGACTCCTGTCTACAGGCCTTTAAGCCTTTCAGTGCTGCCTTTAATCATGTTTATCCATGTTTGGAAATGAAGAAGATTGAAGAAGAATGTACTGTGTTTGAAAGCTTGTCTGTTACTCAAAGAATTCCTTGCGTCTTGGAAATTTAAGTTACTTAGGTTATGTAAATTGCTTGTTTTATACAAGCATCAAGTTGCAATCTCCAAGTGGTAATGGTGCAGCATCATAGTTGGTTTCATATAGGTAGAATAGAACATGTTCAGTAGTATGTGGTATAGTGCCTTTTTCACTCTTCCTGGCATAGACTTTTGGTGGAAAAGTTGACATGCAACTTCACCTGTCCGTTAATCCAAATGGGACATTAATTATCCTTCTGTATCTGAAATAATACATACTTTTATAAAGAATTTCTATTCTGGTTTTGTCAACTAAACACTTAAATTTTGCCCAAGTTGCATCAACTTTTGTAGTCTTGTTCCTTTGTACTATGCCTATTTTATACATATATGGTAAATCTCAGTTTCATAGGAAAGTGTACATTTTTCTGTTTCATGAAAAAGAAATGGATAAATTGCCAAATTTTGCCTGACAGTACTGCATGAGCATAAAATAAAAAAAGCTGGTTAAAGCATGTTGGGGTTGGGAAGTCTGCTCATTTACTACTGAGGACGGTTTTTTTAATCCTCCTTCCTCTATCAAGTTATTTTAGAGTTCCCTGCAAAGATTATAACTTTATTAAAAGTCTTCTCAAAATGTATATCCTTTAATCAGCTCCGTCCCACCAAGCTGTGAAGGTTGAGCAAAAGTTGCTTAATAAGCTCAATCTTTTCTTATAACACTGATGTCATTGGCTGAAGAAAAGTAGGAATTTTTGACCATCTGTTTTGTATAGAAGAGCGGCGAACTAAGCTGTCAGATGTTCTTGAGCTACAGTCCTTAAGCTGGATCATGTTCATTTGGAACATAAAGGTTGTCATTAGATAAATAGTTCTTTTTCCATTATTTTCTGTAGTTCATATTTAGAACCTTAGTAGCAATGAAAGCAGTTGTTAAGGTTGAGAATTGGAATTTTGTCATTCGTTACTCCTTCCTGTTGGGACCATATCGTTGAGCTTGGTCTTATCCCAAAGATGTGATTTTTATTTTTTATTTTTTTTGCTTTGGGGACTATCTGACCCAAGTACTCCCTACTTTAGACTACAGGACTAGAGAGGTAGTCATTTTCTCTTAGGAATTGTTTGCAGGAAAAATACTAAGGCTGCTGAAACTTCTTTGAGTCCTTGATGAAGAAGAGTTGCTGCTTCAATTCAAAGAGAAAGTTAGAGTACATGATGCAGTGTGGTGCTGCTGATAGGCAATGGTTTCAGCACAGGGTGTTAATCAGTGTTGTCTTATTTCCTTGTTCTCCTCCATCTGTTTGTATCATCTGTTGTCTCGTTTTACCCTTTGATTGTCTTTGTCCCAAAAGATTTACAGTTCTTTGTTCTATGTTAATGCAGTGCCTAGCCCAAGGGGCCCTTATGTACATTTAGAGGTCAGGCACTAAAATAATACAAACAAATGCTGTTGTATACTCGAGGGAACTAAAACTATTTGTAGGCTTTAGCTGTTTGTCCTGGGTACTGCAGGAGTCGGCTCCATGCTCTGCTGATTAGTAACTAATATGCTTGCTATTGGCTACTGCTTGTATAATGTGTTATACAAAACCCAGGCACAAGTCATAGTTTTCTCTTTATTTCTTTTAACTATTAGAAATAATTATTTAACTATTAATTCTTTCAACAATTCCTTTTAACTATTATTTAATTTGGAAAATATAGTCAGGATTTTTACAACATAGCAGTTTGAAGATTGAAGAGGTTTTTAAAAATATCTGGCCAGTGCTTTTCCCATTTGAAGAGTACTGAAATTGCTGCCCTCATTACAGCGTGGCATCATTTAATACAAAATGTTTAGTTCATTAAGTTGATAACCATAAAAATAACACTGGGCCTGTGGGGAGCTACAGGCTCTTGGGATACCTGAAAATCTAGCTCAGTATACTTCTAGATTATCAACTGAACTGCAATATAAATGTAAATAGAGGTGCAACAATATATTGGTCCATATTGTATATCAGCACCAATAAAAGGAAAATTGACGTTATCGGCAATTGGCCTTTTTTGGCTGATGTGGCCAATAAATGCCATGTGCATGCACACAGCTGCAGCATGCATGCAGCCAGGAGTGCAGCTGGGCAGCTTGGAAAGTAGCATCTGGCCAGTAAGTCTGGGAGGGGTGGGGAAGGGGCATGGAGGATGGAAGGGGTGTGGGAGGGTATAAATCGATGCCTCTGGGGTGAGGGAGGGAGTAGGGCGGGGGCAGGGGCAGGCACTGCCCAACCAGGGCGGGGTGGGATGCAGGACAGAGCCAGTGGCTTGTCCAGGGCAGGGAGGCAGCTCCCATTGCTGCTTATACCCCTGAGGGAGGTATGGGGGTTGTGCCCCCTGGATCTGCATGGGGTGAGGACGGGCTGCTGCTGTGCGCTCAGGGCCAGGGGTTGCACTGGGCTCTTCCTGGCAGCTACACTTGGGCAGGGTGAGCAGTGGTGGCACTGAGAGCAGGACTATGGAGGGGCCACAAGCACACAGCGGCAGCCCACCCTACCCCCACACAGATCTTGGGGACACATGCCCCCCCATGCCTCCCTCGGGGGGCATGCAGTATTGGGAGCCACCGCACCCCCATTTCTCCTGGACGAGTCACCAGCTCCGTCCTGCACCCTGTCCTGTCCCGGCTGGGCAGCGCCTACCCCAGCCTAGACCCACTCCCTCCCTCACTACGAAGCCTCGTTCTTCCCCCTTTTTCCCCCCCCCTTCCTTCCCCCCCAGCAGACTTACCGGCCAGATGCTGCTCTCCAAGCTGCCAGTCTGCATATCTGCAGTCTGATTAGTATCAGACGATTTAAGGCTAATCAATAATCGGCCATCGGTATCAGCCCCAAAAAATTCAGTGTACCCCTAAATGTAACATTCCCTTTATCTGAACTAGTCAGAAATATTGGTAAATACTGATTCATAACCTTTGAAAGTTTCTTATTGTGCAAGTCAAGCTTGATGATTTTTTAGTCTGTATTTGCGTGATGCTGATTTTTAATAGCTGTGCTTATGTCATAATTATGTTTGGAAGAGTTTGTGGGTGCTGACTTTACAAATGAAGGAAGAGGGTAAATCATTTAATAGTCTTGACCTCTGCTGCCCCCTCACCCCCCCCCCTTCCACCCCCGCTTTGGCGATTGAAAGCTATCTACTTTGTAGTCTGGCGATATGATGGCCACTTTCATAGGAATTTAAGGTAGCTCCAGACTAACTAACCCAGGGACCAAGATTAGCCCATCTGCAACAGAATAGATTTCAGCCACTTGAATACTTCCATAGCATCATGAGTGGGTATATGTTGTCACAGTTGCATATGAGCTACAGTTTTACCTCAGGTTGACAGTGTAGCTATATTTTAAGAATAAAAATACAGTATGTTTTTGGAATGCCAGATTATCTGTACTTCTACCTAATATTGCATAATTTTTCTCTCTTAGGTTGTATACATCGCCAAAGAAGAAACTGACCCCAGTGCAGAAATCTGTTAGTCCATTAGTATGGTGCAGACAGGTACTGGATTACCCAAGTCCTGATATAGAATGTGCTAAAAAATCACTGATCCATAGACTTGAGCAGACCATGTCGGGTAAGTTTGTACAAATGGTGCAGAACATAAAACCTGTTCTAGAATAAATACAGGCATCTGTAGTCCAGGTGATCTGAGGGTAGAGGGATAGCTTCAGTCTTAGGTTTTCATTGTATTTCTCAAATGGCAGTTGATGCTTTGTTCATGCTTTAGACTCAGTTGATGGAATGACAGGAAGGAGCATTAGACCAGATGAGTCATGATTCCAGTATTTTATGCCCCGTGAGTAGTGATACTGTGGTCAGTAATTTTTTGTTTTGCTCTTGAGGAAAAACATTTTAAAATCAAACTGTTTTTCCTGGAAGTTGTTTTATTCTTTGATTTAAAAGTTGAAATTTTTGAAGGTAGGTCAAAACCTGCTTTTCAATACTGTCAGGATCACAAGCCCTCTATATAGGCATCTTGCAAGACAGACGGGTGCCTATTAAATAAGAGGTAAATGTATCGGGGATAAAGGAGACAGGGTTTAGAATTTTTTCCAGATATGATATTTACCACAGGCTTTTACCACAGAACAGTTGGCATGTGGTTCCTAACCCGCAAAAAGTGGAAGTTAAACTGGAGTATCTTAGCCCTTTCTTTCTGAAGCTCTCCTGCCTCAGGAGCTCCAGACTCTCCCTGCTATGAACCTCAGATCTCTGTTCCTCTTTCCC